CTGTAGAATCTACATTTGTTATTGTATTTCTGATTTTATCTATTTTATCAGTGAAGAAATTCATAAAGTCATTACTATTAAACTGTGAGGGAATATTTAGATCGGGTGGCGACTGGTTATTTGGTAATCTAGCCACTGTGCTAAATAAAAAAACCTTGGATTGTTTTGGTTATTTTCTATGAGTTTGTGGATATGCTCGGCCCTGGCAGCTTTTAGAGCCTGTCTATAGCAGGACATACTGTTTTTCCATGCAATTCTAAAAATGTCCAAATTAGTTTTTCTTTTTCATTTGCGCTCAAGATTACGAGTTTCTTTCTTGAGAGAATGGGTATTACTGTTGTACCATGGCGCAGTACGTTTTTCTCTAACCTTTTTCAATTTGATGGGGGCAGCAGCTTCTAATGTATTAGAGAAGATAGTGCCCATGTTGCTAGTCATTTTGTCTAGTTCATGTGTATTTATGGGTACAGAAAGCAGTTGAGATAAATCAGGCAGTTTATTTGTGAATCTATCTTTAGTGGTTGGAACAATAGTTCTTCCTGTACGAAAGCGCGGAGCCATATAGTTAATATCAGTAATACGCAGCATTATAATTAAATCTAGCGTATTATTAAAACGATGAGTGGGCCCGGTGACGTTTTGCTTGACTCCAAAAGAGTTTATTAGGTCAGTAAACGCAAGTCCTAATGCATCATTTGTGTTATCAAGGTGAATGATAAAATCTCCGACAGTTAGCGCTTTATCAACAGTAACCAATAGTTCTGAAAGGAAATCTGCAAATTATTTTAGGAAATCTGTATACGGCCCTGGTGGTCTATACACAGTAGCCAGAGCAAGAGATACGATAGATTTCTTTTGCATATCTGACAGTGTAACATTTAGCATTAGTATTTCGAATGAGTTAAACCTGTATCCTGTCTTCTGAGTAACATTGAGAATATCACTATATATTGTTGCAACACCGCCGCCACGACCAGTCTGACGGGGCTCATGCTTATAACAGTAGCTTGGTGGAGTAGACTCATTTAGATCAATATAATCATTTGGTTTTAGCCAGGTTTCAGTCAAGCAGAGTACATCAAATATATTATCTGTGATCATTTCATTTACAATAACTGCTTTGGGTGCGAGTGATCTTATGTTTAGGACCCAAACTTTAAAAATGTTTTTTTGTTCAGTTATTTTGCAATTTTCTGGTTTAATCACGATCAGATTTTTTCTAGATCCTGCATTAAATTTATATTTTGACCTCACTATTCGGGGAACAGAATTATTATTTTTTTTTTTTTACTACAAACTTTAAGCTTTTTAAACTGCTTTCCCAAGCAAACATGAAGTTTGTCTTGATTAACATTTTAATCAAATTATTCTTCTGAGACAAAATTTTCTAAATGCTGCTACTCCCAGAGCTTTCACGCTATAAATACCAAACTCGGCACAGATCTTCAGACTGTACTGACTCTGGTTGCTGTATCTTTTCTAACTGATCGAATTTACGGTTTTCCTTTAAATGACGATCAAATCTTCCAAAAATTACATAGACATAAAGGGATAGTTCACCTTCAGTTGCTGGTCCCCATTGACTTGCATATTCCATCCTATGGAAGTCAATGGGGACTAGCAACTGAAGATGAACTATCCCTTTAAGGACCGTTCACGCCAAGGACGATAATAACTATAAAGATAACTATATTAGCGTCCACACCAGCAGACAATATCGTCTGTTTATTCCAAGCGCACACTCGTCTGCCGCTTTAAACGGGTCGGGTCGGGTCGGACTGGGTCAGACGATCTCGGGTACGGATCGGGTTCGGGCTTCAGTTTAAAGCCTGTGCAGACCTCTACTGGTGACTTGCAATTCTTAGTCAACACTGTCAATCATGATCAAATTCTTCACTAAAATTATTATCATATGTCTGGCATAAAGGCCCGTTCACACCAAACAACGATAACTATAAAGATAACTATATTAGCGTCCACACCAGTGGACGATATCATCTGTTTATTCCAAGCACACGCTCATCTGCCGCTTTAAATTCTCGAGCTCATGATAGCGGGATTGATTCTGATTGGCTGTCATGTTTTTATCGTTCATCAGCTGGAAAAAAAATCTTTCTGAAAGTGATTCCAACTATATCATTTCTCTGTGCCTTTATTGTTATAGCTGTGGTGTGGACTCTGCTATTCTTTAATATTGAGAACGATTAGAACTATATCTTTATCTTTATCTTTATAGTTATCGCACACAGGACTTCAAACCAACCACACCCACTGCAAAAACTCCCATCTTCTCCTTCTGTCCCCTCACTGAGGCAGAAGT